TTCATTTAAATATAATAGGAAATCGTGATAAATATGGCTAGTTAAAACTAATTTCGAATGTAGGTGTGGTTAATTAGTTATAGGTGTAATTCACTGGTCATATCATTTCTCTTCTTAGGTATGTTGAGTATTGGAGGGGAACAAGCTCATACCCTTTTTGATACAGGGGCGACACATAGTTTTGTTTCGCCCACACACGTAAATCGCATGAAGATTGCACCTGATATTAATAGTGGTAGAGTATTGGTCCATACACCTGGTGGAGAGGAAATGGAATCGAAAGGAATGATTCGTGATGTATCGGTTCTGATTGGTATACATGACTTACCTGTTCATCTAATAGTGGTACCAATCCAGGGATATGATGTGATATTGGGTATGGATTGGTTATCAAGTCATCGAGCTCATCTGGATTGTAAGAGAGGTAGAGTTCGTTTTGAACAAGAGGGATCTTTGGTACTAGAGTTTGAGGGTGTAAGAAAGACTTCAAGTTTGCCTTTCATTTCAGCAGTGCGGGTAAACCGGCTAATTCAACAAGGGAGTGAGGCGTATTTAGCGGTAATAGAATTAAACGGACCGGAAATATCAAGTAGACTAGAGGATATACCGGTTGTTAATGATTTTTCTGATGTTTTCCCGGAAGATCTACATGGGATACCTCCTCTAAGAGAGATAACTTTTCCTATTGAGTTGAAACAGGGAGTTGAACCTATCTCTAGAGCCCCTTATCGTATGGCTGCTTCAGAAATGACTGAGTTAAAGAAACAGTTGGTGGAGTTGATTGGAAAAGGTTTTATAAGACCTAGTACTTCTCCTTGGGGTGCTCCTGTACTATTTGTTAAGAAGAAAGATGGGAGTATGAGATTATGCATCGATTATCGAGGATTGAATCAGGTAACAATAAAGAACAAATATCCACTTCCAAGAATTGATGAGCTATTGGACCAACTTCAAGGTGCTAGTTGGTTTTCGAAGATTGATTTACGATCAGGTTACCACCAGATACGTGTTCTAGATGATGATATAAAGAAAACTGCTTTCAGAACAAGGTATGGACACTTTGAATTTGTTGTCATGCCGTTTGGACTTACCAATGCACCTGCAGTTTTTATGGAGTTGATGAACACAACATTCAGAGATTATTTGGACGAGTTTGTTATCATCTTCATTGATGACATCCTTGTGTATTCCAAATCTCATGAGGACCATATGATACATTTGAAGAAGGTGTTGGAACGCTTAAGGAGAGAAAAGTTATATGCAAAGCTGAGTAAGTGTGACTTTTGGATGCACGAGGTAGGATTTTTGGGGCATGTGGTATCTGCGGAAGGAGTGAAAGTAGATTCATCCAAAGTGTCGACTATAGTTGATTGGGTGAGACCGTCTAATGCTACAGAGATTCGAAGTTTCCTCGGGTTGGCTGGGTATTACAGAAAGTTTGTAAAGGGTTTTGCCAACCTATCTAAGTCATTGACGAGATTGACGGGAAAGGGTGTGAAGTTTGAATGGGACGAAAAATGCGAGACAAGTTTTGAAGAGTTGAAGAAGCGATTGACATCAGCTCCTATTTTGGCATTACCAAAGCCCGGAAAACAGTTTGTGGTGTATAGTGATGCCTCTCACCAAGGGTTAGGATGCGTGTTGATGCAAGAAGACCGCGTTATTGCGTATGCATCACGCCAACTTCGAAAACATGAAGAAAACTACCCTACTCACGATTTAGAACTTGCAGCTGTGATTTTTGCATTGAAGATTTGGAGATCTTACTTGTACGGGGAAAAAGTTCAAGTATACACTGACCATAAAAGTCTCAAGTATGTGTTCTCTCAAAAGGAACTAAATTTGAGACAACGCAGGTGGATGGAATTAGTGGCAGATTATGATGTGGATATTGCCTATCATCCCGGCAAAGCTAATGTGGTTGCAGATGCCTTGAGTAGAAAGAAAGTTGAGTTATCTACTTTGAGATTGACAAGTGATCTAACAACTCAATTGAGTTTAATGCAGATATCAGCTCAGGAGAATCGAGATGGATTGAAAACTAGTGCTATAAAATGGGATAGTTGGTTGGAAAAGGTGAAGATGGCTCAAGAAACAGATAAAAAAACGAAAGAATTGATGGAAAAGCCCGAAGATTTTACAAGGGCAGGGTATTCCACTTCAAATGATGGGTTGATACTATTGAGAGGTCGTGCATATGTGCCTAAAGATGAAGAATTGAGGAAAGAGTTATTGAAAGAGGTGCATAATACGCGATATTCTATACATCCGGGTACTACAACGATGTATCGGAATTTGAAGCAGTACTTTCTTTGGCATGGCATGAAAAAAGATATTGCAAAGTTTGTTACTCATTGTCTAACGTGTCAGCTAGTTAAAGCCGAGCACCAAGTACCTGCAGGAAAACTACAGTCACTATCGATACCTCAGTGGAAATGGGACTTGGTGACGATGGATTTCGTAGTTGGGTTGCCAAGGAAACCAAAAGAAAATGGTGCAATATGGGTTATTGTGGACCATTTAACTAAGTCTGCACATTTTATCGCGATTAAAAAGGCATTCTCAATGCCTCGTTTAGCACAGGTCTACATAGAAGAAGTGGTAAGACTTCATGGAATCCCCATTAGTATCGTGTCGGACAGAGATCCACGATTTACTTCGAGGTTTTGGAACAGTTTACAAGAGGCTATGGGCACTAAGGTACGATTGAGTACAGCTTATCATCCCCAGACCGATGGACAATCAGAGAGGACGATACAAACGCTAGAGGATATGTTACATGCGTGTGTATTGGATTGGGGAGGAGAATGGGATCGTCACTTACCACTTGTGGAATTCGCCTACAATAACAGTTTTCATTCAAGTATCGGGATGTCACCCTTTGAGGCGTTATATGGACGACCTTGCAAGACACCTCTCTGTTGGACAGAAGTTGGAGAAAGACGATTGTTAGGTCCTGATATAGTGGATGAAACCACAGACAAGATTAAAGTAATCCAGAAACAGATGAAGGCAGCACAGGATAGACAGAAAAGTTACGCGGATAAACATAGACGTAACATAACTTTTCAAGAGAATGACAAAGTATTTCTCAAAGTACAAGCAACTAAAGGAAAAGCACGCTTCGGAATGACGGGAAAACTAAAACCCAGATTCATTGGACCTTTCAAGGTATTGAGTAAGATAGGAGCAGTGGCTTATAAGGTTGCCTTACCCCCCGAGTTGGCACAAGTTCATGATGTTTCATGTGTCCATGCTTCGGAAGTACCATCCTGACCTTGATCACGTTATTGATTATCAACCGCATGAGTTAAAACCAGATGGGACTTATGAAGAAGAACCTATCGAAATTATTGAACGAAAGGTTAAACAACTGCGGAGAAGAGAAATTCCTCTAGTAAAGGTCACGTGGACACACCACAAGGGAGGAGATGCGACTTGGGAATTAGAGGACGACATGAAGGCTCGTTATCCCCGCCTTTTTGGTAAGAAAAAAAACCCGTACATACTATATTAAGTCGTTCTAGAATTCGGGACGAATTCTTGTTTTAAGGGTGGTGGAATTATAACGAACGGAAATTTAAAAAAAAAAAGTGAATGAATTGGGGTAAGGTGATAAAATTAAAAGTTCTGGAAAAATCTGTTATTTCAGTTAGGGTCTTTTAGAACGAAATAAAAGTTTGGGCAAAATTCGAAAATTTCAGAAAATATGGGATTGGACTGCAATTTTTGCTAGGGTTTCTTCTTCTTCTTCTTTTTCCTCCTCCCATGGCCGACCCTAACACCATTGTTGCCTATCTTCCACTCCGATTTGCCTCCTTGCTCGCCGTCGACCATCGACCACCGCCCCGTGGCCACCGTTTCATCACCGTCGGTCCGTTTCTCCATCTTTTCTTAGTTTTTCTTCATCGTTTTCCTTCTCCTTTACCGCCATAGAGTTTTTTCGATTTCCGGCGAACGGAAGCTCGGTTTGGGTTAAGACTTGAAGGGTTTGAAAGCACTTGACGAGTTGAATCTTTTCTGGGTAGTGTCGTCGCCGGAAACGGTGAAATATCGCCGGAAAATCACCGAGAACCGTCGGAGAAAAACTTAGATCTAGGGCGATTTAAGCCGATTTAGGCCAAAATAACTTCGGATTTGGATTCCTTGATTGGTTTTACATAGGAAACAAAAAAAAATTAAATGATTCCGAGATGTATGATGGTCGTCGGCCACCGTCGCCGGAAAATTTTCTGGTGACATGGGTTGAACCGTTTCAATCCTGTGATTTCAAATCCGAAATCCGTTTTATAAAATTCAAAGTATTTAGAGATCTTCGAACGATTTAAAATAAGACAGTTTAACCGTAAGACTTACCATTCGATTAACGTTTTTTTTCGGTAGTAAATATTTTTGAAAAATAATTTGTTGATTAAGATTATTATATGATAATTAATTATAGGTGAAGAAAATCTCGAGGTTATTGAACCCGGGATCGAGGATTAGAGCGAATCTTTCAGAGTTCATCGTTTAGACCAAGGTGAGGGAACTCGACAGATCTCCTCTTTCTTCTATTCGCTTAGACATGATGATAGAGAACATAGATACCATGCGGTTAGGACTTTAGGATAGACGCCTTAAATTCCTTGTGGATTCATGATGTATGTTGATTGATGATTGATGATTGATGAAGGACGATTAATGATTGAGAATCGATGATTTATGAATAATGCATGATGATTGATGATTGATAAATTTCCGTTGAGTGATTATGGTTATGACGCACATGTTATGTGATGAAGTTTTTTTTATAGGTTATTAGCTCGTTAGTATGAGTTGTACTTATGATATTAAATAAACTTTGGCATGATGTTTGGAAAGATGAGAGAATTAAAGAATTGAGTTAGGGACTAGGATGTGACCTCAGAGTGTGCTAAAAATATTTTTAAAAGTGAGTTTTGAGACCATGGTACGGCGGCGATCCGTATGTGATGGTATGATAACAACCCGGACATGGCTGCGATCCATGTGGAGTTATAACCCCGACTACGGCGGCGATCCGTAGAGGGTTATAACGATATTTTTGTTTTGTTTTATAAAAGAGTTTTGAGCTAAGTCTGAGGGGTACTGAATAGTCCTAGAGTCTGGACTCGTTTTAAAGAATCGAACAAAGAAAACTTAGGAGAAGAACGTGAATCGATAGATTAAGTTTTGTTTGAGTTGAATGTTGATTGAATTGTTTTCTATTTGATTGTCTATTTTGGGTACGGAGGCGAGGTTTATGGTCTTGCAACCTTACTGAGCTATTCGCGTAGCTCACCCTTTCATTTTTCTCCACAGGTGAAAAGTGAAGCAGATTATTTTTGTTGGATTTGGTAGTTTGCCAGAAAGACGAAGATTTAGAGTTTCTATTTTATTTATTCAATTTATTCATGAAATTAATATGCAGACTTATGTTATTGAATTCATTGTTTTAGACTTCCGCTGTAGAGTCTGATTTTGATGGTTGATTTTAGAATAAATCGGATTTTTTTTAAAACCCAAGTGACGATTCAACGATATCCGAAATACCGGATTTTTGGGTCGTTACAGTTACCATATCTGACTTTTTTTTTGTGCTTACATTTTGAATTCTTTGTCGCAGCAATACGGATCCTTCGAGATCTTTTACAATACACATAAGGATAAATGGTTGATCACTATTGAATATGTGTGTTCAAGAGAAAGGAAGATTGCTTATGGAAGGTGGAGAGAGTGTGCATTTGGTAACTCAAGAAAAAGTCAAATACCAAGGCAAAAAGAATGGGAAGAAAAAGTTTACTTCTCAAGAAAACATTAAGAAGGAATCCAAGTGTTTCTTCTGTAAGAAGAAAAGATACATGAAGAAAGATTTACAGATATTCCAAGACTGGTTTGCTAATAAAGGTAACTTACTTACAGTCGTTTGTTATGAATCTAATATGATCGATTTGGTCATAACATATGGTGGATTGATTCCGGTTGTATAATCCATGTTACGAATTATTTACAGGGTTTGCAAAACCTAAGGAAGGCAGTGGAAAGCGAACAATGTATCTATTCGGGAAACAAGATGCGCTCACATGTGGAGGATGTTGGAATATGTTATCTAGTTTTAAGTAGTAGTTATGTATTTGATCTTTCTTCCGCTGTATGAAACCTAGTAAACCAAACCCTAGATCGATATGATCGCATGCTAGGAACCCGTAGATAACCCCAACATCAACCGAAAACCATCCCGAAACCCTAAAGCGTTCGAATGCAAGAGACAACCAAGAAACTAGGGTTTCATTAAACACCCAGAAATGACGTAAACACCCCTTCGCATTTTGGAGACCCTCCGCTTCGCTCAGAGACTTTGGAAGTCTCCAACTCACCTAGAGTCTTTGCTGGATTGCTGAAGAAATCAATCACTTAGGATATACTTATATATTTCTTGACATATGTGACCGTGTGTATGTCCTGAATCATGTCATATGCATTTATATGACTAACAAATGTATGCATGCGCGACACGTTGGTCGTCGTGTATGATTCTAGCTGGTCCTTTCATGTGTATCCGGTTTCGTTTTTCCTCGCCATATTTCGTTTTTTTGTGTAACAAATTTCGGAAGAATTATATTAAATATATATACCGTGTCAAAATTTTGCATTATAACCTCCAAGATAAATATTTAATTACGTTATAAATGAATATCATTAAATAAATTCATAACAAAATTTCAACTTAAATGAAAGAAAAAATTAGGTTTTTTCTATTTCAGTTTAATTATAAAAAAACTGAATTAAAATCAACCAAATAATACTAATGTATATATCCAAATCAAATCTGATACAAAAATCAATTGGATATAATTTATCTAAAAATTATATTAATCTAATTTAAATAAAATTTACATAAAATACAAACAAAAACAAAAATTTATTAAAAAACTGAGATTTCTTCATTAGTTTCGAATTTTTTTAGACTTCAATCCTCTTGAATTCATATTTAATAACTTTTCAAAAGAAACAAATCCTTTTTAATTTTTTTAGAATAGTAAAAAAAAACTTTATACTTTTATTTTATCTCAAAATTTCAACTTAAATGAAAGAAAAAATTAGTTTTTTATTTTATTTTTATATCTTAAAAATCCTTACACAATTACTTTATTTTAAAAAAACTTGTACTTTTACGTTTTTTACCAAAAAATCTCTACCGTCTATATAGACAAACGAAAATTCTACGTGGCGCTAAAAAAATCTCCAACTCATCGATACATCACTGTCATATAAAAAATCTTATACTTTACTTTATTCTTTTTATTCATTTTTTTCAATATTTTGATCATATATATTAATTTATTATTTTATATATTTATTTAATTTTGTATTTGACTTGGTAGAAAAAACTCATGGATAAATATTTTAAAAGAGATTTTACTCAATATAATGATAAAATTCAATCGTTAATGTATCAAAATATTAAATTAACCTTTTAATATAAGAACAAATTGATTTGAATTATTTATTTTCAAATAAATAATATTAGAAAAATATTAGAATATTATCCTAATAAAAAAGATTAGATAAGATATAAATATTTGATTAGAAAAATTTATCAACCACATGGTCATTTTATGAATTTAATATGTCAAATTTAGTAAAATTTACTGGATTTTATCTAGATATTTTTAGTTATGTGGATAGATTTTATCGAAAAATATATATTTTAGACAATTACAAATGAAATTATTATAGATAAATTAAAAAAAGTAAAAAATTATAGAATTTAGTCGTAAAATGTAAATATTTTTTGGACGATGTATATTTATTAGTTATAATATATATATATATATATATATGTGTGTATGTGTATTGTATGTATATTTTTTATTTATTTTTGTATTAATCTATTCTTATGTTTATTTATTTTATAGGTATTTTTTGGAATAAAGTAATTGTATAGGTATTTTTAGGTTAAAAAGATACATGGTTTAAATTGAGACAAAATAAAAAGTACTAGATATTTTTTGATTATTCTCCTATTTTTTAATAAAGGGAAAATCCCAAAAAAATTACCGAATTTGGAGATAGTTGACATATTAATACCAAACTTTTTCGATTTCCAAATTAAATATGAATTCGTTGATTTTGACATAAAAAAATATTGAATTTGTAAATTTTTGACAAAAACCTCATCGACGTTGAACGGCGTTAAATCACTTAACGGATGATCTGATGTGGCGGATGACTCAATGCCTCGTCATCCGCCACATCAGATAAGAATTTATTTTAAATATAAAAATAATTATAAATAAAAAATAAAAAAATAAAAAAATAAAAAAAAATAAAAAAAATAAAAATAAGAAATAAAAATAAAAATAAAAATATATATATATATATACAAAATAAAAGTAAATATTAAATGTTAAATGTGTATATTAATATACATATATACACATATATATATATATGTATGCATATGTATATAAAATAATAAATATTAAATGTGTATATTTATATATATATATATATATATACATATATATATATATATATATGCACATGTATATATATACAATATATGTGCATATATATATATGCACATGTAAATATATACACATATATGCATTTATAAATTCATATGTATATATACATGTACATATATATATATGTATTTATATAAAAAATATACAATATATATGCAATATATACACAACTATATATATATATTAAAATCATTGTAATTACATTACAAATAATTAAAAATATAATAAACATTTCAAAATTCACATATATATTTATATACATTAAATAGTAACTATTAAATAAATATATATATACATATATATATATATTTAATATTTAATATTTTATGTATATGTATATATTTGTGTGTATATTTATATTATTTTTATTTGTTTTTATTTTTATTTTTAGTTTGTTTTATTTTTGTTTTTATTTTATTTTATTTTTATTTTTATTTTTATTTTTATTTTTATTTTTATTTTTATTTTTATTTCTATTTCTATTTTTTATTTTGTTTATTTTATTTTTTATTTTTTATTTAATTTTTTATCTGATATGGCGGGTGACGAAGTGTTGAGTCATCCGCCACGTCAGATCAACCGTTAATCGATTTAACACCATTTAACGTCGATGAGGTTTTTGTAAAAAATTTACAAGTTCAATATTTTTTGTGTCAAAATGGACGAGTTCATATTTAATTTAGAAATTTGAAAAGTTCAGTATTAATATGTCAGCTATCTCCAAGTTCGACAATTTTTTTGGGATTTTCCCTTTAATAAATGATCTATTATATTTTATTTACTTTGGTCTCCAAATGATTTAGGCCTTGAATGGAGAAAACTTTTAGAGTTTTTAGATTTTAAAAACTCAAAAAATTATCAATCAAGTTTTTTAAATTTGGTTTTCCTAAAACTAGAAAACCTACATTATAGAAAAAAAAATGAACTAAAAACCAAAAACTAAATTTTTTTGGATTTACAAATCTATAAAAAACAAAAACCATAAACCAAAAGCTAAAATCTAAAAACCAAAAACTAAATCCAAAAACTCAAAATAAAAACCTCATCCATTCATTAATCATATATATCATCCTCACAAAACCTGATTGGACTTAACACAAGGTATATTTCTACCTAACCGACCTCCTAGACTCTTGTACAAACCTGATTGGATTTACCCTAGACATAATTTTACCTAACCGACCTATTAGACTCGAAATACAGCCTACCTTAATACCTGATTACGTCTAACCAGACCTAACTAAGGCTAACCGGACCTGATTACGTCTAATCAGACCTATAACACCGAGTCTACATGGCCCCCAACAAAGTCTTAATCAGTCCTACGATCCCGAGTTTATCTGGTCCATCACAAAGTCCTAATTAGACCTACCCAAGTGCTATCTAGACCCTAACAGCCCTAATTAGACAACCAAAAGCTCAAACTAGACCAGAAAACCTAATCAGACCTAAGCCAACCCTAATTGACCTAACCAACCCCTGATTAGTTACCCTAAGTCCAAGTCAATCACCTAAAAGTCCTAATCATTAAACCTAAGCCAACCCTATTGATTTACCAACTCCTGATTAGACTTTTAGCACCCTAATCAGACGTAAACTAAGCCTAAAGAGACCTAATTTCCCTCTGACCAGACCCTATAAACGCCTAAAACCAGCCCCTATAGACCTGCCCTGATCTAAACCGACCCCTACAGACCTATACCTAGTGATTCTAGACTTAACCAACCCCTAAACCAACCCGTTTTAGTCAAATCCCAACTAATCAGACCTAACAGGTCAATGTACCGGACTCTATCACTCAAAACTGGTACTTAGGAGTCTTATCTAGTCCTAAACTAGATAATATCTAAATCTATAATCAGATTCTAATCTGATCAGACCTAGACAATGTCTCTATAGACATTCTAAACCTCTAATCAGACCTAACCAAGTCTATTTTGACCTAATTACCTACTGATCAGACCTAGACTAAGCTAGACTAACCCAAATTTGGCTAAACCAGACCTAACCAAGACCTAAAATAGTCCTTACAGATCTATACTGACCTAAACCAATCAATCTCAGATCTATACCAGCCTATTTTAGTCTAACCCGACCTCTTACTCAGCTAAACGCAGTCAAATCCAACCTATTCAGACCTATACTGAACAGAGAACCGGAATCTATGACCCACATTAGCTAAACCGAGATCTAAACAGGTTTATCCTTAGTACATTTCACTAAGCCAAGCCAAAATTGGATACTAGGTCAACTTAACAGGGTAAACTGATCACTACAGACCCTAATCTATCCTAAACCAGTCCACTATGCCCTAAACCAAACACCATCAGACCTCATTTGGACTAACCTAACCCTAAACCAGTTAATTAGTTCTAGACCTAATTGTACACTCCAGACCCTAAACCGATCTAATCTGGTTCTAAACTACGAATTCAGACCTTAACCTGATCAATACTAGTCCTATACCAATAAACCGGACCTAAATCAGACCTATTTCAGCCTATACCGAGTCTGATTTACCTAAACCGAACCCAATTGATCTAAACCCGGACAATTCTAGCCCTAACCGGACAAAACAGACCTACATCATACC